TAAGCTTGGAACAATAAGAGCTGAAAGAAAGCACAGATGTATCTGCTGCTTATGGAAGACAGTACAATCATCATAATGACAGAGAACTGTTGTCTTCCCCATTAACAGGTTAGAGGCAAAAAACCAATATATATATATTTTCATGTTCAATGTTAAATTTGGGATTTTAGGTTAAAGTTATTAGCTGAATAGGGTGCCTGGGTGGTTCAGTCGGTTAAGCGTCTGCCTTCAGCTCAGGTCATGGTCCCGGGGTCCTGGGATCAAGCCCCACATCAGGCTCCCTGCTCAGCGGGAAGCCTGCTTCTCCCTCTGCCTACCACTCCCCCTGCTTGTGCTTGCTCTCTCTCTCTCACAAAAAATAAAATCATAAAAAAGAATAAGGGAGCTATGATATCATACTAGTTAGTACACATCAAGAAAAACTAGAGACTTTATTTGGTTGCAAATATGAGTAAAAAATGTGATGGCTGCCAGGAAAGCTAGTTTCCCTTTGACTATATTAATAAGAGAGTAGTATCAAGATAAAGGGAGGTAATGGGGTACTCTACATCATACTTGCCAGACTCTATCTGGAATACTGTGCTGTTAATTCTGGAGATACGATGTAAGAGGGATGGACACCACGCCGAGTGTATTTTGATGAGGGAGATGCAACGGTAAGAGGTCTGGAAAGTATCATGAGAATCTACTGAAGAAACCAGAGGCATCTGGTCTGGAAGAGGGAAGACTAGGGAGCGGTAGGTACTGTGAGGAGCATGTTAAATGCCCTTCTGACTTGAGTAACGGCTTGTAGAACAGGCGTTAGAGCCAGAGAACAGAATTAATGCATTTATTTTCATGCGTTTAAAGCAATATTTAAAAAAAAAAAAAACCCTAGAATTGCTTACCTTGTGAAATAGTGAGATTCCTAGGACTGGAATGTGCTCTATTGATGGTTAGCTGTGATGTGTGGAGGAACTTACAAATGTTATTTCTGCACTGAACTGGGTCACTGGAGTATAGAACATCACAAAATCCAGAAGGTTTTAAGATCAGTATAGGAGTTAAAGCTGGTGTTATGAACTTGTAGCTAATTAGGTGTGGTTTAAGGTATGTTGGAGATTCTCTCCTGCTCCTCTCCCCTCAAAAAAAAAAAAATCTTTGTTATAAAGCAATTATTACATGAGATAATCAGTCCATGAGGTCTTGCATATTTCTTGAGTTTTCAAAGAGACCATTATTAAAATGTAAATGTCCTCAGAGGAAGCGGTAACATATGGGAATTAGTTACAGCTTGTTGAAAGAAATTCAAGAATGAGAAAGGTGGCAAGAGTAAATAAGGTCTAAGTGGGTACAAATCTGTAGAAAACAAAATCCCTCTAAGAAAAGAACCAAGAATATTTTCTTCGAGGTTTTCCTAGAGATGCAATAGATGATCAAGGGTTCAAGTTTTACTTATATGAGGATATGGCCCAATTTTCCCAGGTGTCTCCATAATTAGAGCTTTTAATTAGTACAGTTTCTGAAAGGGGTCACTAACGTAAAGCATTCAGTGTTTAATATAGAGAATTTCTGTATAACGGATGCCTCTAGACATCTAGATAAATCACCAAATTTCAGAAGACTCAATTTTTGTCAAGGTTTTATCAAAACCAAACTAGAAAGGTGCCTGGCTGGCTCAGTTGGTAGAGCATCTGACTCTTGATCTCAGGGTCATGGGTTCAAGCCCCATGTTTAGTGTAGAGATCATTTTAGAAAAACAAAACAAAACACAAAAAATAGACTTTCATATACAGTGTAATATTGTATCATTAAATAAAATTAACTTTTGGGTAGATTCTACTTCATAAAATATGCTATTATTTATGTTTTCACTTAATAATATTTGTTAAAATTACACAGATTACATAGTTACACAGGAGATCAATGTAGCTTGAGTCAAGATTTTTCTTCTAAACATCACCATTGATATTCTATGTGTTTACATTTATCAAAATCCTAAATTAAACATATTTTCTTTATATATATATACACACACACACAATTTTTTTTTTAAGTAAGTTCTACACCCAACATGGGGCTTGAACTCACAACCCTGAGATCAAGAGTCACATGCTGGGCACCTGGGTGTCTCAGTCGTTAAGCGTCTGCCTTCGGCTCAGGTCATGATCCCAGGGTCCTGGGATCGAGCCCCGCATCGGGCTCCCTGCTCGGCGGGAAGCCTGCTTCTCCCTCTCCCACTCCCCCTGCTTGTGTTCCCTCTCTCACTGTGTCTCTCTCTGTCAAATAAATAAATCTTAAAAAAAAAAAAAAAGAGTCACATGCTCTACCAAGTGAGCCAGCCAGGTGCCCCTAAACTTATATTTTCTATTCCCCTAACTGGTTACTCCTCCTTGCTTTCTTGCTTTGGTATCCTAAGTAATAACACCACTACCATTCTTCCCCTTGTTTAAAGTGAAACCTTATATTTTCTCTTCTCCATCCCAAGTCCAAACAAGTGCTGAGTTCTTACACTCTAAGAAAATGCTCATATGCCTCTTTCTATCCTATTGTCATTCCTTTAGCTCATGCCTTTATCTTTTACATATACTGTAATTTCTCATACTTAATATCTGTACTTCCCATCTCTTTCCTCAAGAAAGCTCTCCTACACACTGGGTCCATGAGAACTTTTCCTAGAGCATACATTCTTATCAGGTAGCTCCCTAACTCAGAAAACCTTTCAGTGACTCAATATAGAACTATGGAAAAAAGTCTAAACTAATTAATATAGCATTGAAATTTTCTATTATGTGATCTCAATCTATCTTTTCAGCTTTATCTTTTATTCCTTTTTAGGGTCATCATTCTCCAATTAATACATTGTGCTGTTCATTACCTAAGAATGTTCTATGTTCTCCAACAGCTGAGATGGCCCTCAATTTTTTCTACTACAGGTTTATCCATTTCTCAAGGTCCAGGCTTAAAGGTGTTTTCCTTAAATCAATCACTCTATCAATCAATTTCTCTCTCTCTTTCTCTCACTTTTTTTTTTCTTTTACTTATCTTCTGTTCTCCCATGGAACATTCCTGCCCCCTTCCCATTTACTGCATTTTAACTTACATCCTAGTTTGGTTTTATACATTTCTTCTCTCCTACTGACTTAGGGTCAAGGACAGTGCTTAACAAAGACTGCAGTAGCTCCCAAGTGTACTGTAAATGTATTTTGGTTTGATTATAAAAAAAATTATATTTTGATTGCATATTGATTATATGACATTTTCAGGTATACGGGGAGTGAGTCTAGGGGCATTACTTCAGCAGTTTGGAGCTGAGAGCGGTCACATATGAGATGGTACACATCTAGCATTTATTTGCATTTCTTTAAAAAATGGTGAGTACATTTGCTTCCTGGAACAAGTGCATCTTTGGTGCAGGCACTCCCATCACACTGACGGAGCATTCTCTGTGTCAACTGGGGCACCATGTGGCTGTTAGTCACAGTGACAGCCACATATGTCTCCTAAATGCTCTGATGGCATGTGTAACTGTGCTCTCCTGGGCAGGCAAAGGGTAGGGAACCATCTCTCACCACACTCACTGATAGCACAGAGTAGTGGCAGGTGCCGCAGGCTACTTAACTAGACAGCACTGGCCCTTTCTTATTCACTGTTGGAGAAACGGTCTGTCTGGGTAACCACTTCCCCCAGAAGTCCACTGCCTGAATCCACTTTCCACTTCCTGGAAACTCCAGGGTAATTCCCTTGATTCAGCCAGTCATGGCAATATGCTTCTCCTTCCTAGATATTTCTCTGGGGATGTGTGACTGAATTCTGGTCAACAGAAGATGAAAGAAAATGTGCTTAAGTGACCTTATTCTGAAAAAGAGAAAAGAGGTCTATCTGCCTTTTGTTGTGTCAGAAGGTTACATTTGGAACCATGGCTGTTGTCTTGCAACTATAGCAGGTGCCATCCTTTGGGTGTTGGTGGCACCCTAAGAGTTGAAAGCAGAAAGACAGAATGAACCAGGGAACTTGAGGATATCGTCACGGTGCTGGGGTCACCCTACCTTAGGACTTCTGATGGTGTGGCAAAATACATCTTCCTTACCATTTGAGCCAGTTGAATAGGAGGTTCCTTTTATTACAGCTAGAGATCCTGACGCATCAGCCTTCATGTTGGTATCAGCCACCTTGTTCAGGTGGCAGACATTGATCATTGTGAGGGCTTCAGGGGAGAAGAACATTATTTCTATGGTCTGCTTAAAAATTTGTGTTGGGTTGTTGCTAGGTCCTGAATCTGTCATTTTTTTTTCATGGATCTAGTAAGTCATAATCTTCTTAAAATACACTGCACTTTTCCTTTTGCAACAATGATCAAACTTACAATTACTAATGTTTTTCTTCTTCACTAGTTTAAAAGCTCCATGAAGGCAGTGACTACATCTGCCAGGAGAATTCCTGTCTCTACAGCACTTCACACAGGGCTGACACACTGGTGTTCAATGTGTAGGTGCTCAGCAAATATCTGTGAAACAAGTAAATGAATATATAGAATATCAAAAACATTCTCCCTCTCATTTCCTTTGCTCACACTCCCAATGCTCTGATTCCATACCAGTTTAGGCCTTCAAAAGTGAGCTATTGCCTGCATTTGAGGAGACAGGAAAGAGAAAAGGGAAGGAAGCTATCTTTATAGCTCTTGTCTGTTTTCTCAGTGGAGAAAGGGAAAAGAGACAATTCTTAAAGGAAACTCACAAAATATTTTCATAACGAAAAACTATATCTCCTGAATTTCATATCGGATCAAAATATCGTTTAAAAAAATGTTCAGAATCATTTTAGAACCAGAATGAAGCTGAGGATTGATTCAGTATAACCAAGCAGAGCAAAGATTTATCAACAATTTTAAGTCCCTCGTTTTATCAGAAGAGTAACTGAGAGCTACTGTAACCAAGATCTGCATTGGTGTTTCTTATTCTCTATGATGTAATAAATAATTGAATGCAGATAGTTACATTCACCAGCAACAAAAAGGATATTTTCCTGGCAGCGTTGTTCCAACTCGGTAATCAGTGTAGCTTTTGCTTGGATGAAAGTTGAAAATAAAAAGAAGACCTGCTCTCTCAAAAGCGATGATCTTATTGGCTTCATGCTTTTCACTCACATAGGCCTGCAAGAATTAACACATATATTACATTATTACATTACGGATGCTGCTATAAGCAAATTATTTATTAAAAAGTTGTTTTTGTCTTTATTAATAGACTTCTTAGTCATTAAGCCAACAAATCAAAATGTATTATATTTTTTTAACATGTTGCAATTTTGCCATATCAAACTCAACACTAACCAAAGTCTCAAAAATGGCTTAAAGAGTATAAAAATCTCACTAGTCATTGACAACTTCAAATAAAGCACAGAGGATTAGCACTGTGGCTTAGGTTTTAAGAACACAGTACCTATGTTACATATAGTGTGTGTGTGTGTGTGTGTGTGTGTGTGTATTCTGGATGTTTACAAGTGAATTTTCTTTAAGACTTTTAGTTCCCAGATTAATGAGGTAAGGTACATAAAATTATGCTTTAAAATAAAAGGTAACATTGTTACTGTATTGGGATTTCTGAAATTGTAGTATCTCAAAAACTTTACATTATTGCACACCTTTGTCAGATTCAATGGCAACCTGATGTTCTTTACAATATATCTTTTTTTCCTAATAAAAGAGAAGGTCTGAAAAGAAATTATATCTACAAAGTCTCCAATTTTATACACCATGTTTTATAGTAGGTAGTGAGAAGCCTTTGCTTTTTCAACACCACCCTCTTGCAGCTCCAGTTTTGAAAGGACTTATTTCCATGAATATCAGCAGCACCGCTCTAATTTAGCAATGTGAACTAAGGCTCTAGAGTAAACAGGATGCCTTTTGGAATTCAACATTGTTCCTGTTGAAAAGGAGCATCATTTTGCTCTCTCTTCTGGAAATTGCATTACTAATAAACGTGATTAGGGCATTCGTGTCATGTAGTCAATCTTGGTTAATATATAAGTACCTTTGTTCAACCATTAAAAAAAAAAAATCATAGACACCAAAGTAAAAACACATCAACAGTAATTTCAAATAGCACCAGTAAAAAGTAAAATGGATTATAAGTAACACATACTATATGCTAATTTTTGCAAGGGAAAAAAAGCCTGTATAAAATTTGCACCTGTTAATTACATTTTCTAAAACTTATTGAAAACTGAGACTTTAATTCCAGAGGAGAGTCAGGCTCATGAAAAATACAAAACAGCATGCAGGTATAATGGCATCTATTGAGATGACAAGTTAGACACCAGTAAAGGAAGGGGAAAAAAAAAAAGGAATAAAGAAATCTACATGTTGTCAAAGTAGTCCCTTTATGACAGCAAAATTATTTATACGAAGAAAAACAGTCAAAACAATTAAGCTGTTTCCACAGCAATTTCCAAAATGGACTCCACACTGAGCTTTTGTCATTTATTTTAACCAACTGAAATAAAAATTACTAAATTTAACCAACAACAAACTAAACAGGAAAGTAAGCAGGGCATTGTGTTTAAGATTTTCATTATCTATTGGAGAGACTTCAGTGACATGTTTTGACAACCTGAAGTATGTTCCAGGGCACTACACACTGAATAATGAAGTGGTGTTTAAAAGATCGCATATAGATTTAAATCGATTGCCATTCCAAGCATGTGCAACACTGGTGACTAAAACATAACATTTCGAATAAAGAGCTTACCTGTGGAGCTGAAAGCCAACCACATCTTTCTTCCAATTTATTCATATCCCTGTCAAAGTTATTTAGGAACTTATAGCGAAGGAGGTCATCATCAGTTAAATGAAACTGCCTTCTGGCATAATGGTAACTCTCATTATTTCCTTTTCTTGGAAAGTCTAACCATTCAGGATGCCCAAATTCATTACCTGTGTTAAAAAACAAATATAAGCCTCACCCAGTAATATTAGCATTTCTTGCTAAGGTGACTCAATAATTACATGTGTTAAAGTCCTTAAAATCCATTAGGTTATAATTTACCACAGCTGTGTCCTGTGAATGATATACAACCTTGGTTCAAAAACGTCACAGTGAAGCACAAAGAGTAGCGACCACATCTGGACTCAGAATTCCAGGGTCCGGTTCTAGCTCAGCCATACAGCCCTTGTTACACGCCTCCTTTTCCTCATGCACAAACTGAGAACACTTATCTCTATCATACTTAGGTCATCTCTGAAACTATCTCTAGTATCTCTGAGTAATTTCCAAAATCTGTTTCCATCATTTCTGTAATGTATATGATGCTTTACAATTTCTCAAGGCTGTGAATGCACATTATGTTTTGATCCTCAGTGGGGCTCCTCGTTATGGCCATCTCACAGATGAGAAATCCAAAGCTTTGGACATTTTTGCCCAAGCTTTACACAGATAATAAGCATAAAAGCAACCATTAAAATTTAGTTCTTCTGATTAAAATCCAAAGATTTTAATGAGGTTCTTTCTACCTCATCCACACATTAGGCAAGTACGTTTTAAACTTCAGGTGCCATAGAAACCCAAGTCATCACTTTTATTCTTCATTTTCCTTTCTTTCTCAGATCTACATGTTACCATTAGATGTGTATCTTTAATTTCAAATGTGTCTGCGTGCATGTGCATGCATCTGTGTTTAGCTAGGACACTTGATTTGGAACCATTTAAATATTATTTATCATTGTAATGATGAGAACCAGAAACTCAATACACTGGAAAAACGAAATAAAATAGTAACACATAAATATTTTTCATTCTCAAAATTAAATTTAGATATTGGTTGTCTATAGATAGGCTCCTATTGTTTTCCCCAAGGTGTATTTCTACTTTACAGCTTCTTTTTTCCCCTTAAAAATTAAATACTGCTTTCCAAAGTTTACTTTCATTTGCCACTTTAATGCTGCAATTTTCTAAGCCATGAACATCTCCTTTGTGTCAAAAAGTACTGCAGCCAATACAAGAGTGTTCTACATTCAAGAAAGTAATACATTAATATTCTAATAAATCAAAACTAGGAAACTAGTAAACTAGGATGTAATTCAAAATGTTTTATTGTAGAGTTGCTTTAAACAGTAAACTCTGCTAAGAAACACTGGAATTTGCATTTAACTTTTTGGAACCATAGCCATCAAAGTAAAAATAGCATCCAAACAAATATGTCTGTAGCAGTTTCATAAGAATTAAAGCATCTACAGACACTTTGCTAAATTCTAGTATTTCAGTCTACATAATATTCTTTACAATTTTACCTGCGATGTGACAGAGGAGAGAAAACCAGATTACTGACTCTATGGGCCTATATTTACTTTAGGATGCCTTCAAGTGACACAAGGAATTTCCCTCTGCCATGCTTTGGAGTTCTGCTTAGGTCCGGAGCCTGTCCCATGGTGTAGCCATGGGACAGCCTGCTCGAACATCCATTCAATTGCCAAACTCATGCACCTTCACAATTGTAGGGGAGCACATTATTTACTGTTAAAGAAGGGACTGCCAGCCTGGGAAAGTTATATGTCTAAGTACTAGTGAAATTTCAACTAGTGGAGAACTTTAGAAAGACTAGAAATGACATGAGCTGGCTAAAGTATAGTAGCCTCCAAACTGGATCCAGGCATTCTATAAGCACAAGGCTTTTATTCTGGTATGGCCATGAACTCTGGGTTGACTACAGTATTAATAAGCAATTCCTTCAGCCTCTTCTGGGGGAGACTGCCACATCACTGTCATCATGATTACACAGTAGAGACAGCAGCATATGCTTCATGTCTGCTTATTATGTGCTAGGCACATGCACTGCACATGAATTAATCCTTTCCATCTTCAACAACACTAAAGGAGGTACTATTATTATCCCAAGTTTATAAGTAAGGAAGCTGAGTCACAGACATTTTTTAAGTACTGGGATCTATGAATCCAGACAGTCTGGTTTCAGCACCCTGACTCTTACTACTCCATCATATTGTCAGAAATAAATACCATGGAAATACAGTGCAAAGAATGACCAACCTCTCGTACATGGACAGAGAATCCAAGCTAATGGAATGACATGTGCAGATGCATCAGAGTGAGAAGGTGAGATGTGGTGAGGAGTTTGGTTCAGCCATAAAATAGGGTTAGTGGTGAGGAAAAGAGGTGGGCCAGACAAGATGAGGTTAGATTAGGACAGGCCTCATAAACTTAGGAGCTTACGCAGCAGGCAGTAGGGAACTAAAGGCTATTTCCTAAGTAGTGGAATGAGAAGTTCAAATGCATTTATTATTAAAAAATACCTCCACAGTGTGAAAAAGACACTGGATATTGGGGATAGTTAAATAGTAGGAAAGCTAACATGGAATCCAAAGTATAAGGTAAGAGATGACAAGATGCGGTGAGAATGAGGAAAAGAATGATTCAAATGGCATTTCTTGTACACTGCTGGTGGGAATGTAAATTGGTATTGCAGCATTATTGACAATAGCCAACATAAGGAAGCAACCTAAGTGTCCATTGATGGATGAATGGATAAGGAAGATGTGGTGTATGGATGTGTGTGCATGTGTATAAAAAAACATAGGAATATTACACAGCCATAAAAAGGATGAGGTTGTACCATTTGCAAAAACATGGATGGACCAAGAGGGTATTATGCTAAGTGAAACAAGTCCAATTGAGAAAGACAAATACCCTATGATTTCACTCATGTGTGGAATGTAAAAAAAAAAAAAAATGAATAAACACAAAAAGCAGAATTAGACTTAGAAATACAGAGAATAAACTGATGGTTGCTGGGCCAGGATGGGCAAAACAGGTGAAGGGAGTCGGAGATACCGGCTTCCAGTTACGGAATGAATAAATCATAGGAATAAAAGGCACAGCATAAGGAACAAAGTCAATGATACTGTAATAGAGGTGCATGGTAATAGATGGTACCTAAGCTTGTGGTGAGCACCGAATAATGTATAAATTCGTCAATCACTATGTTGTACACCTGAAATTAATGTAACATTGTGTGTCAACTACACTCAAACAAAAAACAAATGATATTTCTGAGGAGGAAAATAACAAGATTGGATGCTACCTGATGAACGTAGGTTGTAACCAAAAGGGAACTCTTTGAGTGCAATTTTGAAGTTTCAAGCTCAGGTGACTGAGCAGTGCCAGCATTAACCACACTAGGGAACAATGGTGACAGAGGAAGCGTGTGGGAGGGAGATAATGAGTTTTTTGGCATGCTAAATTTAAGACCTGAAGAATACACAGGAATTCATGGATATACAGTAACACTGATAAAAAATAAGGTACTGAAATTCAGTTAGAACTGAGGGGTGAGGACCAAGAGTAATTTGTTAAGGCCTCAATAAGAGAAAGTAGTTACATCCACAAAAGGACAAAGGCCCATGGACAGCATCCTAAGGAACTGCAGGCAGAAGATTAATTAGAAAAGACTGAGGAACAATGGTTAGCAAAGTAAGAGGGACATCAAGAAAAAAATATATCAAAGGCTAAGAAGACTCTCAAAAACGATGGTCAGTGACAAATGCTACAAACAAACACACATACAAAAAAACCAAAAACCCAGGCCTTGCTATCTTACCACCCATTTGGTAGAGGAATGAAATAATGTAGATAGAGCTGTCCTTTTCAATCTATGGAATGCTCCAGAGAAAACATATAGATTCCAAGGAAGCTTGTTCATCTGGAGGATGAACATTCATTACCTGATTCATTATCTCTGGGGGAAGTCCCAGGCAGGAATCTACATTTTTATCAACCTCCCTGTACTGAAAGCAGGAGGGCCAAAGGCCACTCCCTGGAGAACAGAGTTGAGATTTGAAAGTTCTTTATATATCTAAGGAAAAGACAGGCAACATGATGCCCATGGACACAGAAAGACTTGGGTTTTAATCTGAGTGAGCCACTTCTGAGTGAATTTAGGCAATTTAATTTCTCCAGTGCTCAGTTTACTAATCTATAAAATAGGATAATACGTTTCATGAAAGTTCTTTTAAGATTCAAACATGGTAAATGAGGCAGTGGGCACAGGGTCCAGCAGCTCTCAGCTTTCAATGTACATGAGCTTTTACGATACACACGTCCACTTATTATGGATGTTGTTCAGGAAAGAATTACATAAAGGGCAATAGATGAGGCAATAGGTGAGGGAGGGAACTGACCAGCCCTACTCTGCAGCAGGCATACAAGTAACCAGGATGAACTCAACAGGCAACCTGTTAGTTGGCTCCTCTTGACTTAGTTTTCATGGTACAACCTTATTCCTTTCTTTAAAGTACTGAAATTGTACACGGATGCATTTATTCATATATTTAATAATACAAACCAATTTCCCTAAGTCCAGTGTGAATGACCTTTGAGTTACCTACTATTTTAGATTTTTAAAATGCAGAATTGGATGTGAAAATAATTTTGCTACAAGACACCCACAGGGATGGGGCAAATCATATTGCTATGTTAGAAATCCCCTCTCTGGTCTCTTCCTTCATTCCCACATGTTCATCTTGCAAAACCTCTGAACAAGCTCTCAAGGGTTATTTATAGCATATATATTAATAGTATATATATTATCACATATACTATATATATATATATATATATATATAGTTACAGTGCATATAGTATACAGTTGATTATAGTCCACTTAAAATTAACATTTTAGGAACCTCCTAAAACCAGAGTTCTCCTTTGGTTGGAACACTACTGACACCTGAGGCTCTCCCATCTCCTCATTTCTCCCCACCATTCTTGAAAATGTGACCTCAGGTTACAGCCTCTGTTGCTTGCTATCTTTTCTGACTGTCTCAAGTAGATTAAGAAGGTGAAAATATAAATTCTCCACTGTATGGTTTATTTTCTCTCTTAGTATTCCTCCTTGGAAGTACAGTTTTCATCAGTATAGAATTGA